AGGGTGTACTTTTTATTTTTTGGAATCTGGTTTATAACTACTAGTTGGGCTAATTTTGTATGGGATGGAGGGAAGGAGGATGGGATGGAGAAATGGAGAGTTTAAGAGGGGAGGTAATTGACATTTGTTGATGATCTGCTTTATGTCAGACAAGGCAGGGAGCTGAATCGGTGCTTCCCAGAGACAGCACCAGAATCAGCCATGGAACACATTCCTGACACGTGTATCAAACCTTTTTTCCATAATCCTAGGTGCTTTCGTATATATTTTTTCTTTTAACCTCATAGTGACCCTGTGAACAGGTACCTATTATTATCTCATTTACTGTTGAGGAAATTGAGGCTCACTGAGGTTGAATAAATGGCCTAGGATCTCATAATAGATGAGTGGCAGAGATGGGATTAGAATTGTGATTCTAAAACCTGTGCTCCTGCCCTTATATTGTGTTGCCTCATGCCAATTACATGTCCATAATTAGGCCCTGCAATTAGGTATCCTTGGTGACAGATAACTCTAGTGGTGGATGAAGCATTAGAGTTTGCTTCTGAACTGAGTCTGGGTGATCGAATTTGGAACTCTTGGTGCTGGAGAGGGAGAGGTGATGAAATGAACAAACCAGACATGGATAGTATGCCTACAGTGGATTACCTTATTGATACCTGGATCTGGTACACTGCTGAGGACTTGTTGAGAGGGTTAATTAGATAATGTTGGTAAAGTGTATTCGAGGAGAAACAGAGCCAGGTTACTTCTTATTGCTTTTATGCCCGGCTAGCATGGCTCAGTGGTGGAGCGTCGACCTATGAACCAGGAGGTCATGGTTCGATTCCCTGTCAGGGCACATGCTCGGATTGCAGGCTTGATCCCCAGTGTGGGGTCTGCAGGAGGCAGCCAATCAATGATTCTCTCTCATCATTGATGTTTCTATCTCTATCTCCCTCTCCCTTCCTCTCTGAAATCAATAAAAAAAATATAGTTTTGTTATATTTATGTTTCTTTTTAAATTGTCAGGGGTGGGGTCATAAAAATTGCAAGAGAAAACGAAAAATCATTGGAGTGGTAGATTTGGGGTCTAGGGCCATCTTAGCCATAGCTCAGTAACTGAAGGCTGGAGCTTATGTAACCAAAGTGTTTTTCTTGTATTGGATTTATTTTCTTTAGAAATGAACTGACACAGTAATTGCTAAAATCTTAACCAAGAATTCTCCATAAAATTCATCTCAAGAAGTTGGCCTATGGCAAGTCTCAGGTCATATGGACGCAGCGATCGTGCCTGCTCTTTGCTCCGGAGGCTTTATCTTCCGAGGCTCCTCACTACACAGACATCCTGGAGAAGTTACTCTCACATAACGCCAGCCTGTTCTGCTCCCAGGAGACGCAAAAACCAGCCTGCAGGCCCCTGGGGAACTGTCTCAACACTTATCTGCATAATCTTACCATCCGAGGTTGCCCACCTTACTAAATAGTAAATTACTAAGTAGCTGATGAGGAGACTATAAATAACAATATTGACCACATGTTTAAAGTCACTACTGATAAATAGTTCATAGTTCTCGCTCTGGGGTCTTAGCTGTCCATGCTTCAGTTTGAACATTCTGGAAAGGAGAAAAATTACAGTGCCCGCATGGCAGGGTAGCTGCTAGCATCACAGGAGATCATGTATGTAAAGCACTTAGAAGAGTGGGTGGCATGCAGCATGTACACAAGATTTATTAATGTTGTTACTAACTCAAAATTCATCTCTTACAATGAGCTGATTTGATAGAGAAAGTGTTTCCCAGGGCCGCCGAGGATGCTGGGAAATTTCCCAACATCAGTACCAGCTGGCTGGCTCTCTAACCCTGGGGCTGACCTGCATTTCCCAGATGCCCAGGGGCGTGGGCAGCTGGCCCGGCTCCGCTGTCCGGGGTGCTGGACACTTGACCGCCTCGTGGGCCTCACGGGGCTTCTTATTTGCCCCGAGTGGTCCTAGGGCAAAGGCGCCGTGGCTGTCACGCTCACTCGGGGCGTGTTGGCTCCAAGTCCCTATCAGTGTGGACAGCAAATCCCCACCCCTTTAGCGAGAGGGTTTCAGGCTCAGGAGGCAGAGTGTCCAGGGAGCCACTGCCGAGTGCGCTGAAACGCTTCCTTGTGCTGAAGTAAGGGCTTCTTAACGGAGGACCGTGTCCAGTTCTGCTTGGATGAGGGCAGCAGAGGGGAGGGGCTGAGGGCTGTGCGTGGGGTTCCCCCCAGTTCAGCTCCTATTTGGTTCATGTGGGTCCCCTGTGTTTTAATGTTGATGCATCCAGCCGTCCTTTGTCCATAGGACCCTTGTCTGCAGGCACGGCTCACGCAAGCACCCGCTCTCAGCCCGCCTTCCCGGGGCTGCGCCCTGGCGTCGCCCGGTGGCTGCGGGACGGTAGTTTAGGGTACTTGAGGCCTGGTCTTATTGCTAAACTGCTAACTAGTTGGGAGGAGATTAGCACCAGTCGAATCATCAGTCGTTTTCAGAGTTCAGAGGTCACCTGCCCGAATCCTTCCGAAAATTAAGGTCCACAGAGGTGAAGTGGCTGCCTAGGGTGCCATGTCCATCTGGTAGGAGCTGGAACGGGCATGGGGGGGGCGGGAAGAGTGTTAGCTGTCGCTCACGTTTCCACCCGTCGCAGTGCCCGAGAACAAAGGGGGACAGAGGGGCCTTCTTAAGAAGTTATCACAACCTCCTGAGGGATTGTAGCGGCTGGACGTCAGATCCCCTGGGCCTACCCCTGTTCTCTGCTGACGGGACGGAGGTTGGTTTTGTGAGAGCAGCACCCGCTTCACTAATGATCGCGAGGACTGGGCGCAGGAACGCAGTGGCGAGCGTCCGGCTGCGCACGGGACTCAGTGCTGCGGAGACTTGGGGAGACGCAGAGCGCAGGCAGGAGCCACTGTCCAGGGAAAGGAAGTTACAGCACGTGGTGAGCGAGCGCCTTGCAGAGCTACATCTCACGCTGCATCTAGAAGAGCCATTCCCTTCGCGGGTTATCTCACTCGTCGGGCCCATCTCTAATCACACTCAGCAGAAGATGGACGCACAGCCGGAGGGGCTGCGTCCAGGCGCCTGGGCTGCAGGAGTGGCTGGAAGCAGCCCTGGCAGTCACCTCCCTGTAGATCAGTGGTTCTCAACCTTCCTAATGCCACGACCCTCTAATACAGTTCCTCATGTTGTGGTGACCCCCAATTTCATTGTTACAAATTGAACATAATTAAAGCATAGTGATTAATCACAAAAACAATATGTAATTACATACGTGTTTTCCGATGGTCTTAGGCGACCCCTGTGAAAGGGTCGTTGGACCCCCAAAGGGGTCGCAACCCACAGGTTGAGAACCACTGCTGTAGGTGTTTGCAGGCATTTGCCTTGGCCTCCCACTGTTTAAAGTGCTAACCCTGTGAAAACGCTGTGTCCCTAGCGCTGCAGCCCTGCGCCGGCTGCACAGGATGAGGGAGACCCTTCCGGGAGTTCTGTCTGTGAGATCGCGGCACCTCCCACACCTGACACGGAAAGGACTTGCCTGCGTGAGGCTTTGCGTCGGGGACACTGGGCCGTGGAGTCCTTGGCAGCGTCCCCGCAGCCCTGGGTGGTGGCCCTGGACAATCCGTAATGACTCTCAGGGTCTCTGCTGAAAGCCTGCGCCACGTGCCACAGAGTAACTCACTGACAGGACATGACCAGGCCACAGCGACTGTGCAGCGGCTCCCTCGACCCGAGAGGGGATCCGAGCCCATTTTCTGGTACCGGAACGGCTGCATGTACACGTCCCGTCCAGAGTCTGGTAATTGCAACAACGAGGCCGGCCGAGGGCGCGCCCGGTGACCCTGGACAAGCTGCTTTACCTGTGAGCAAGTTCAGCCTGATCACCAGAAAGCTTGGGTTTGTGAGAACCTGCGTTTGGGAGTAAGAATGCTGCTGCCCGTGGACCACTCTGAGTCAGACGACGAGGAAGAATGAAAACTGTTGTGCATGCCCTAACCGGTTTGGCTCAGCAGATAGAGCGTCGGCCTGCGGACTGAAAGGTCCCAGGTTCGATTCTGGTCAAGGGCATGTACCTTGGTTGCAGGCACATCCCCAGTCGGGAGTGTGCAGGAGGCAGCTGATCGATGTTTCTCTCATCGATGTTTCTAACTCTCTATCCCTCTCCCTTCCTCTCTGTAAAGAATCAATAAAATATATTTTTTAAAAAAAGAAAAAGAAAACTGTTGTGCAGGGCGCTGCCCACAGGGCTCATTCGTTGAAGCGTCGTCCTGTGCACCGAAAGGGTGGCGGTTTGCTTCCCAGTCGGGGCACAGGCCTAGGTTTCACATGCAAGCCCTGGTTGCGATGCATTCGGGAAGCAACTGATTAATGTTTCTCCCTCTCCCTCTCCCTCTCCCTCTCCCTCTTCTTCTCTTACCTTCCCTCCCTCCCTTTCACCCTTCCTTCCTCCCTCTCCTTCCCTCCCTTCCTCTCTCTCTAAAATCAATAAATGAATAAATAATTGTGGGCGGGTCCTTTCCTGGCCCTCAGCGACTCACAATCTGTGTCCATCTCTGAGACATTTGTCTACAGGTGCCTACAGGGACCACGTGGGCTCCTGCCGTTGTGACGTGGGGTTTCCTCTCTGAACATCCAGGGAGGTCACCGCTCCACGGGCCTTTTCCTGTCACAGCCCTTTTACTACCTGAAGTTCTGGTGCCTTCATTACCAACTCCAGGGCACACAGGTGTCCCCCAAAAATGTATACACACCCTTTGAATAATGGGTAAGGCCGAGTGTATTAAGATACATCTCATTTCCACATTGAGTGACCAGCCCTTAAAGCAGGTGTACAGTTTTGGGGGGCACCCTGTACTTTGGGGGGGAAACCCAGCGAAGTCATTGTCAAGATCAGGTGCGTGATCCGAAGTGTGTAAGGCGGCCCTAACCTTTGGCCAGAGCTGCAGTGGGAACCTGCCCCCCTTGTCTGCCCGGAGCACTGACCTGCCGCTTCCTGTCCCCCAGGATGGCGCCCCTGCCCCTGTGGCTGCTGTGGCTGCTGCTCCCGCTCGGCCCGCGGGCCCAGAAGCTGCCCACGCGCAACGAGGAGCTCTTCCAGATGCAGGTCCGCGACAAGGCCTTCTTCCACGACTCCTCGGTGCTCCCGGACGGAGCTGAGATCAGCAGCTACCTCTTCCGAGACACGCCTAAGAGGTACCCCCTGACACCTTCCCTCTCCGCAGGCTCATCGGGGTGTCAGCCAACATGCTGTGCCCGGGCGCTTTGTGGTTAACCTCGGGTGGCCTGGCCCGTGTCTGCTCAGCAGGAAAAATGGGGAGCCGCTGCCCATCCTCTGTGGGGGCTTCCGTTCCTACACACGGTGACCCTTTGGGTGGAGGGCGATTTCTGCATTTCTTACCTTTGGAGTGATTGCTTTCTTTCCTTCAGGACAGAGGGAAATTTCTAAGGAGGGCTCTCTAGGATTGAAATGAGATTCATGAACACACATGATTCTTCAAAGGTGTGCAGTTAGCCTTAGAAGGATAACATCACTTTGACCAATATCATCAGATTTTGAAAGCATCAAACCCAACAGTGATAAAAATGGACCCTGTTCATTTACCTTCATGCCAGCCTCATCAAACTGGGCTCACGCAGTGCTTCTAAACATTCTGACCTTTAAAAATGACATGTCTCTCTATATAAAAGCCTAACAACCTGTCAACCAGTCACTATGACATGCACTGACCACCAGGGGGCAGATGCTTAATGCAGGAGCTGCCCCCTGGTGGTCAGTGCACTCCCACAGCCAACCTCTCACGGCCCCTCCCCCCAGCTATCCTGCCCCCTGATAGGCCTTGATCACCTGCCAGGCCGAGGGACCCCACCGGTGCATGATTTTGTGCACCGGGCCTCTAGTATGTTACATAATTAAGTATGTATGTGTATGTCCTTCATTAAGCTAGTTATATGTAAAGTTAGTTACTTTTCGGTACCTCAAACCCCTCTCAGCCATATTTCAGGAAAGTTTCTCCTTTTAGCCGGGGCACTAGGGCATTCTGAAGGGAAAGACTGTCTCACCACCAGTGACCCCTTGTCCAGAGATTGAAGTGCAGCAGATCATTGGGTCATCTTTCTCTTGTCACTTCAGTTTTGATTGACAGTGACAATGGGAGGTGCTCCCTCCCACCGTGGCCCACATGGCATGTCACCCTCTGGTCCGAGAATGGTAGCAGGGGATTGGTTTTCCGATGTTGACGGACGCGGCCTATGGCTTGGGCATCATTTCAGCGCTGCCTGAATGACATCATTTGTTTGAATGGATGTAATAGATTAGGAGCTGACCCATCAGTAAAATAAAAATAACCACCATCCCTTTTAATGACATCCTCAAGAGTGAAGGCCCCAAATGCAAGGACGACGACATTGCAGAGACAAGATGTCCTTCCATTTACCAGGCTCAGGCTGTGAAACAGGACAGGGCGTGGGAAACATCTAGTCGCTCAGCTGAAGTATTTTCAGATGAATTCTTCTTTTTTTAAATATGTTTTATTGATTTTTTACAGAGAGGAAGGGCGAGGAAGGATAGAGAGTTAGAAACATCGATGAGAGAGAGAAGCATCAATCAGCTGCCTCCTGGACACCTCCTACTGGTACTGGGGATGTGCCCGCAACCAAGGTACATGCCCATGACTGGAATCGAACCTGGGACCCTTCAGTCTGCAGGCTGACGCTCCATCCACTGAGCCAAACCAGTTAGGGCTCAGCTGAATTCTTGCCGGACACGTTTGCTTTTCGAGTTATTTTGTCTCTTAAAATCTTTGAGTGAGTCAGAATTTTTCTTTAAAAGTGATTTTGATTTCCCAAGTGCACCAGTGCCCTGCTCTGTGGTGTTCTTTATTTTTTTTAAAAATATATATTTGTATTGATTTCACAGAGGAAGGGGGAGTGAGAGAGCTAGAAACATCAGTGATGAGAGAGAATCATTGGTCGGCTTCCTCCTGCATGCCACCTACTGGGGATTGAGCCTACATCCCAGGCTTGTGCCCTGACCGGGAATTGACCTCCTGGTTCATAGGTCGACGCTCAACCACTGAGCCACACCGGTCGGGCTGTGGCTTTTACTCTAAATGAAAGGAGACACACTCTTGGGGGGTTAGAGCAGGGGGAGTGGCATGTGCTTATGGGTGTTCAAGGATCACTGCCCCTGGAAGGGGGTAAATGAGTAGGGGCTCCAGGGGGCAAAAAGGACCAGTAGAAGGTGACCACAGGGCTCAGGCAAGGAGGGCGGCTGGGGTGGGAGGGTGGCATGGAAGGTGCAGCAGAGTGATGGCTCAGGGACATTGTAAAGGCAGAGCCAGCGGTGTTCCGGGTCAGTTACATGGAGGGAGAGGAAGAAGGAGCAAAAACAATCCTACTCTGTCCTGAGTGACTGGGAGGTCGGGGTCACTCGTGAGCAGGGACAGACACGGAGGAGCTCACTGGGGTGAGAATCAGAAGTTTGGATTCGACACCTTAAGTTTACGCTCCCCGTGAAATCTCAGTGAAGATGGCAGGAGATAGCTGTACCTCAAATTGAGGTCGGAGTTCAGGCTGAGAGTTGAGATTTCGAATGGTTCACGTAGAAGAGGAGAAACCAGGAGCCCAGTGCGGTCACACAGGAGTGCGCACAGATAGAGGGGTGTGCACAGATAGAGGGGTGAGCATAGACAGAGGGGGTGTGCACAGATAGAGGGGTGTGCACAGATAGAGAGGTGAGCACAGATAGAGGGGTGAGCACAGGTAGAGGGGTGTGCACAGGTGGAGGGGCAAAAAGGACCAGTCGAAGGCGATCACAGTGCTCAGGCGAGGAGGGTGGTTGGGGTGGGAGGGTGGCATGGAAGGTGCAGCAGAGTGACGGCTCGGGGACATTGTAAAGGCAGAGCCAGCGGTGTTCCAGGTCAGTTACATGGAGGGAGAGGAAGAAGGAGCAAGAATGATCCTACTCTATCCCGAGTGACTGGGAGGTCTGAGGTCACTCGTGAGCAGGGACAGACCGCACGAGGAGCTCGCTGGGGTGAGAATCAGAAGTTTGGATTTGACACCTTAAGTTTACACTCCGAGTGAAATCTCAGTGAAGATGGCAGGAGATAGCTGTACCTCAAATTGAGGTCAGAGTTCAGGCTGACAGTTGAGATTTGGGAATGGTTCACGTAGAAGAGGAGAAACCATGAGCCCAGTGCTGTCACACAGGAGTGAACACAGATAGAGGGGTGAGCACAGGTAGAGGGGGTGAGCACAGATAGCGGGGTGAGCACAGGTAGAGGGGTGAGCACAGGTAGAGGGGTGTGCACAGGTGGAGGGGTGAGCACAGGTAGAGGGGTGTGCACAGGTAGAGGGGTGAGCACAGGCAGAGGGGTGAGCACAGGCAGAGGGGTGAGCACAGATAGAAGGGTGAGCACAGATAGAGGGGTTGCGCACAGGTAAAGGGGGTGTGCACAGGTGGAGGGCAGGGGTGCAGGCACAGGCCCTGTCTGTCCCTGGGTGACCAAGGGCTTGGAAGGTGAGAGGGAACCACAGAGGAGAGGGACGGAGTAGAAGACCATGGTGGTCCCTTTGGAGAGGGTGTTGGGTGGCGATGGGAGAACACAAGGGAGGAGGCCCGGGAGGTGCGGGCGCAGGCGCAGGAGGGAACCCCTAGGTAGGCTGTGCGCGGGCAGCGAGCAGCTCTGGGCTTGCTGAGCTGGAGGACCGGCTCCTCAGGTGCGGCTCCCGGCTCTGAAACGATGAGTGAAACCATCCGGGCCACTCAGAGCAGGAACGTGCGGCCCTGTCACAGCCGGGCCGTGTGTCCATCCTCCTTGAAAAGTCACTGGAGGCTTCGTAAAAAAATCAGGGGAAGCAGAGAGCAGGATGATCTGATTTTTTAAAATTTGTCTTAACATCACTAGGTTATTTCATTCCAGCAGGAAGTCTTAGTGGCAGAGAATGAGTCTTTCCACTGATTGAAACTTTGATCTTTACTTTTAAAATCTCAAGTGGGATTAGGTACCTTTATGCAAAAGCTGTGGCCGCTAGCACCGTGGATCTGGGTTGCTGATGTGAGAAGCGAGCAGAGCACCTCGTAGAGACCAGCAGGCCTTTCAGAGACGCCGCTGGGCGAGGGAGCGTTTGACACAGCGGGTGACTGTCAGGGTGCCCTCGGGGTCCCTTACAGGCCTGTTGCCAGCGTATGGAAGACACAGTGCCTGCTGGTCAGCGCCTGCGGGTTCCTCGGCTGTGCCTGATTGGAATGGCGGGGCCCAGGCTAAAGAGCACCCCAAAGAGCTAAGTGTTGGTTCTTCACTCAAGGTGCACCCACATTACACGTTTAGCTCAGCGTCTTTTCATTCTTCCACGCGGTGCTGCTGGTAAAACTGGTTGCAGATTTGGCGGGTGGACGCCGCGGTTCGTGGGAGAGTCCCGCGATCGAGTCACATGGCCGGTTCCAGTCCCTGTGAAATGCGTGGAATCAGCCTGTGGTTTTCTGTGAGCCCGGCTGGGGCGTCTGATTGATGGCCCCTCGCCCGCAGGTACTTCTTTGTGGTGGAAGAGGACAACACCCCGCTGTCCGTGACCGTGACCCCCTGCGACACCCCCCTGGAGTGGCGGCTGAGTCTGCAGGAGCTGCCGGAGGAGGCCAGCGGGCAGGGCTCAGGTGAGCAGTGGGCAGGGCTCAGGGGAGCAGCGGGAGGGGGGGGTGCTCAGGGGAGCAGCAGGGGATAGGGCTCAGGGTAGCAGTGGGCGGGGCTCAGGGGAGCAGCGGGGAGGGCTCAGGGGAGCAGGGGGCGCTGAGGGGAGCAGCGGGGAGGGCTCAGGGGAGCAGGCCCAGGCCCCGCATGGTGGCTGCAGCAAGAAACAGCCTCCCCTCCTGGTGCTGCAAAAAGTCAGCGGGGACGCAGGGGACTCTAGAGATTCTCCACGGAGATGAGGGAAGCAGGGGTGGCACCAGGGGACAGGGTGGCCCCAGGTGATGAGGGTGGCACTGGATGATGGTGGCACTGGAGGATAGGGTGGCACCAGAAGATGGCTGCACCCGCATGGCTGTGGGTTCGGTCCCGCCTGAGCGTGGAGTCACACTGAGGTAAAGAGAATGCGCTGGGCGCTCAGCGGGTCTGAGCCTCACCTGGGGCCTGGGCGTTGGGACTCACCTCCCCAATGATGGACGCGCAGCCGAAGTCGCAGACCCCTGTCTCTGGGGCTTAAAGGAAGGCAATGTGGAGAGGAGCAAAGGGCGTCCAGCACCTGAGCCCAGGGCCAGAGGAAGTCGCAGGAGGCGTGGGGTCAGCAGTGGAAGGAGGTGCTGGTGATGGTGACAGAAAGGAGCTCAGACACGAGGACATGAGAAGAGACGGCCCGGGGCCCACAAGGGTGCTGCGGGGAG